CAAGAATTTTTGCGGCTTTCACGATCATCCTTCTTCTTATGTAGTGATGGACTAAGCTGAGATGTAGCAGGTAAAACTTGATGCCGTCTATTCACTAAATGATTTCTGTTCATGGGAATGTTAAATTCAAAACTAATTGTCGTGATAATTGTTGTTCGTGAAATCCAGCTGGCATAGTATATGTTATTTGTTGCTCAGTATTGTTTGTTGCAGCAGAGGAGCTGGGATCTGAATATGATTTCACTTCTTGAAATACTTCTCCTCTGTCCTCTTGATTGGTTTCCTGAAATGATTGTATTTATTTTGTTCATTAAATATTTACGGCATTATGCTATTTTCTGATTACACAAAACCAATTAGACTTATTTAATCTCACAAAAAAAAGCTTACTGATATTGTCACAAGAGAATCGGTAACTGGGAATGGCTGAATCATATTACAGAGATGAAATTTCGAGCCATATGAAGGAGCATTATTGGTTGACGTTTCACCTGAGTGCATATTGTTAGACATTTCATCAACATATGGTGAAAATTCTGACATCTGATTTGTTGGATATGAAACCGATGGCTTTGATGATAAGTGTTGTTCATTGAAATTGGTTTCAAACATTTCATTCCTTGTTGATCGTTTTACATCCAATTCGTTGCAATGTTCCAACGATTGACTTCCACTATCATTTGGTCGTTTCAAATATCGATATTCTACCGAAGCACTGGAAGATGTCAACAGTGGATTCACAATAGTTCTGTCCACTGTATTCTCTATTACTGCTGCTTGGCATCCTATTGTGTCATTGCTTAACACAATTTGCTGCGAATTAGGCAAAATTAGTGCATCTATAAGTGGCATTGCAGTAGAAGTATGAGTATCTGTGACATCAGATGACATTGAAACTGAAGCAGGAATATTGAAGATGACATCGAGATTTGCAGCACTATTTGAACTGCTATCGGCAGTAGAAAGTGGCGCGAAGTCATCCGTTGAATTCTGAATAAATGTTGATGAACTGTGTTGCAACGGTGTAATTGTCGGCCTCATCCGATCAAAGTCTTCCAAATGATTATTTGAAATATCAATATATGATGATTGGGTTGTATCAGAAGATAAGTTATCATAATAAGTTGCAGATGAAATAGGCAATCGAAATTCCTCCATTCCGCTGTTACTCGTATCATTGATGGTGGCGGCATTCGATGTTCCATAGGAAACAGAATGATCCAAATGCTGGGATAGAAAAAAATCCTCCCAGTCAAATTGTTCTGACATATTCGATCAGCTTTTTGGGCACTTTTATCGACGAGAAGTTATTGTGCACAGCGAGCAGCAACAAACAATTTTCAAAAATGTTGTTTTTGAAAAGAGAATTGAACTAAGCGTTGTAAATTGTGGGAGTGGACCTCACAAAGATTTTTTTTTGATACGGAAGACCATTGGTCAATAACGAAGTGTTATGTGATGAATGGGAGGATCCTATAATTTGAATATCTGAACAATCATCAAGTTAATGAAAATATAAATGGCAAAATAACAAAAGGGGATCAAATGGATATTTTGTAAGCCCTCTTCATATCTCTCTTTCTCTTCCTGTGCATATAGCGTTTGGGATATTTGTTTCATTTCACACACCTTTTTGCAGTTTACACCGTTTACTGAATCACTGTCTTTAAAATTCGATTTACTAAACAAAGTGGCCTTACATTGATCGTTTTCATCATTCATTTTTGTTGCTAACCTGAAAAAATCTCAAACTTCTTCAAATGGAAATATCCGTTGACAATAAAACTTTTCAATGTAATAAGAAATGAATTGATTCTCTTCAAACTATGGCTGACGCCTAGACAGCTCTTATGGTGCAAGACCTTCAAGCCAGACAGCTGTTAAGTGGAAGGTCAAATAAAGTGTGTCTATAAGTAGGATGAACCGATTAGCTTCAGGACAGCCGTCCCAGGATGGTAACTCTGACTTTAAACCCATAAATGGAGCTCGTAACTTTGCAAAATCATCCAGAATGTTACTCCAAAATAACTTTCAATTAGGTAAGTCAAAAACTGCACGCTTCCATCTATGAGTTGGCTTTGTGATCAAAAACTCAGTAACCTCCAAATTTGTTAATTTGCCAAAAGATTATTCCAATCGAGTTATCTCCCTACTAATAAGCAACATGTTGTCGTTTGCAGTATATATGCCCGAGCTCTTCAAACTAATCGCGCGGAAAAAATCACTAATCCTAATCATTTAAAACAGTTCTGTAAATGACAAAATCATAATCTTTAACTTCAATGACAGAGTAAAACAGAACTCTGAAGCTGGAGAACAAGTATTGCTAGGCAAACATAGTGTTGCAAACTGCAGCGACAATGGACATCTTCTGATAGAGTTTTGCGCGCAGAGCAAAAATTAACGATCACAAATAGAATCTTTCAACATAGAGACAGCCTAAGAACGACTTGGATGTATTCTGCATCGGCTCATTGGCTATATCGTAATGCATCACAGAAGCAAGCATTTGTCATATTCGAGTTATGATGCTTAGTGCAATTACCACTTTGATGCGAAGCCTAAAAAAAGAAACTAAGAGTGAACAATGTTGAAATTACTACTTGCGAATCACTATTAGATTCTTCTCCTAAAATACTTTACCAACTCATTAAAAATAGCACCCAGTAGAACTCGTAGAATTGCTTACGGTTCCCATCAAAGAACTTAAAGATCGGTTTGATGTTAACAGTTTACACGCTCATCCATTCTGTTTAGCAAGAAAAACAACTTTTGATCTAGCACATCTTGTACGCTAGCAAAAATCTCAGAATATCAAGAACAAGTGATGGATCAATCTAATACTCAGTCATTTCCGGATTGTTGCGACCACAGTGAACTCTAAAAGTAGTGCATGGACCAATACATTAGATTCATATACCTCTATTCTCAGTCAGTCTCTTCCTTCTCACAAATAAATCTTCCACTGTCAACCGAGTAGTTCAAATCCTTTTGACCTCTTTTCAATGCCCATCGTTTAATAAAACAGTAAGCACTTCAGTATACTAATCTGCTTCACCGAGCACATAATCTTGAACAAGCAAGCATCATTATTACTGAGGTCATATTAGAACACAACATAACAATGCTGAACAGATCAAATTTTCAAATGAACATTATTACCTCCTTAAGATTTGCTTCTCTGCAGTGAAACTGGTCATTGATAACTGCAATAGACGTACCTCAAGAAAGTACGGTGACTCTCTGAAACAGTCCGCTAGCTTTGTTAACAGATTCTATTTCTAGCGTTATTTGAGGACGCTATTTAGGATGGGTGTCATGAATGAATTCATGTTTATTCCAAGTTACATGTTGTCATTTACACATGCAGCTTGCAATGAACACAAAATTTGACATTAGTGATCAAACATCTCTGTGGTTTTGATGACAAAAAATAAAAATTATTCACTACTGAAAGTATATTCTGTTTGTCCGTTGTTTAAACACATTATTAAATTTTAGATGAGAGATATGTTGAATAATCGAGGTTATTTGTTATGTTCTGAAAATTATAAAAAATGACCAAAGCACAATTACAATACTGAATGATTTCATCAAAGGGCATTTTAAATTACCGTATCTTTCGTTATGAAAAGTCGCAGATGTACTAAAATAAAAGTGTTTCTGAAATAATTTCAAATTAACGAATAGTAAAATAATTTCAATTAAATCCATTTTATTACTTTTCATTAAGCAACTGAAGCAACTGGAGAGGAAATAACTTGGTGAAGGAAACATTGAAGAAATAAATAGAAGAGGAACTGCAACTCAACAACAACCTTCAGTGTATCTTATGACTGACTACATAAGGTTGATGAGAGCAGCACCTGTGGTACCTGTAGGTGGAGTCTTGCGATTGGATTGTTTTCACCTCAGGTAGGTCATGGAGATCGATTTCTATCGAAGAGATATTTTTTATATTTCAAGTCCAGTCAACAAATCTCTAACAAACCTTAAAGATGAAATTCAGTAGCAACCATACGAATTTTGGTTATGCTCTGAAAAAATTCGATTTCTGTAGTTTTATTCAATAATACAGCAATAATAGTGTTTCTTTTTATTTCATTAAATTCAAAATATGCAACTTATTCAGCAACAGTAATTCGAATCGCTGTAAGATATTCCGGTGAATACGGTGCCTTGGAATCGCTCTTATGCAATAATTCGTAGGTAGTAGTCAAATGCGTTAAAATTCAAAATAGGAATAAGAATTCAAAATTATTTGCTTTTGAAAAGGTAATATACCACAGTAAAGGCAGGATATTAAATTCAAGTAAATTAATGAGCATAGTAGTATTTTATGGAATTTAACGGCTTTCATCTATTTCACATAAAAATAAATTTCTCATTAGCCGTGTAGAATATTCAAGTCAAATGTATTTAGTGCAAATAATATCGCTTACTGTACAGAAATAACAATTTCTGTCCAATTTCAAACATCAATAGCAACATTTTTGTTTTAATTCGGCCTTCAACGACATTTTTGCAAAATGTTATGAACTTCCGTTGCTTCAAACATTTCCAATGAATTCGTTTTTTTTTTTTTGTTTTTAATTATCAATCGATTATTTCAAAGTTAACATTAATTTATTTATCTTTAAAAGACTTTTTCAGTCTACGTTATAATTTCATTGATAAAATTAAATCATTTGTCAATTCAGTTCAAATAACAATAGCATCGATTTTCAATTTGTACTAATCCTTCTCAGTCCTTATGTATGTTAAATATTAGAATAAGCAAAATAGAAATTACATAATTCTAATATTTATAAATAAGGCTAAATAAATCATCACAACATTTATCACAGACCAAAAAAAAAAAAAAAGTAAAATGAAATAAAAGGGGAAGAGATTATGTGAAAAATTAAAAAATTACATAAAATAAGAAACTCTGTCAAAATTAAAAACACATTTAAAAATAGAATAAGAAAAGTCTATTAAAATTAAAATACATATAAAAAATTGATACTTAATACTTAAAATAAGGCTAATATTATGCTATAATTATTGTCTATGGACAACACTTAAAATATGCAAACATACACCCCAATCACATACAATAAAGCAAGTAGATACTTAATACTTCAAATAAGTCTAATATTATTTAATTATTTGTCTACGAACAAAATTGATATATATTTTTCAATTACAAAACAATGCCTTCCATCATACTTCAACGTTTGCTACCGTACTGATTAAATATTAGTAAGTACATTAGCTTTATTCAAATTCAATACTTCAATCACAAGGAATGTAGGGCAATGTAATTAATCTAAGATATGATTAGTAAAATAACTGCCTGAAATAGTAGTAAAATAGAACAAAAATATTTCCTCCAAATAACTTTGGATCGCTTAGATATTTAGTTAAGTATTAGTCTGCATTAACATCAACGCCGTTACACTCATGATGCATTTGCAAATAATTTCGTTTACTGCTTCGCAAAACCTGTCAAATGAATTCGAAGGCAGTTACACAACTTGGCACCAATCTGTAAACAATAATCGAAATTTATCTTACATAAGCCAAACTTCAAAAAGAAATAAAATCTTACATTTTGAATTTTCTCATTATCAACCATTCCAATGCAATTTTGCAATGCACAAAATGCTGTCAGAATTGCCATCTCTTCCTCCTTAACTTCAAATCCCAATCCATTCAAGCACTGAGCTAATGCTTCGCTTTTAACGCTCACAATCGCTTCGTAGTTTTCGGTTGTGAAAAAAGTGCGCAAAGTCTACAAAAAGAAAATAAAATATGTATATCAAACTTCTCATCAGTCTATATAAATTTGTTAGTGGTAGGTTTTGGAAAATTTATTCAGTGAATTAGTTTCCAAATAGAAGTGGAAATTTTCAAAATTATCAAACATGAGAAGCGAAAAGAGCGAGAATTTACCAGCGCTGCATAAACGCAATTTTCAATGACTTTTTCCCGATCTTTCCCATTAATTTCATTCATCATCGGGATATTATTCAAAAACATATGGATCCTTTCTACAGCTTCGCTTCGGTTATCGATGACTAACCCCGTTGGGAATGCTTCACGATAGGCACTAACAACAATAGCTTTTAACTTTTTCATTTCTTCGATCTCCTCCATTTCTTTGTCTCTAAAAATTATGAGATATTTTCTCAACTAAAATATTTGTCGTGTAATAAAATATCATCTATTCTATGATATGTGACATTAACATTTACCTGTTTTCATCTTTTTTCCGTCGTCGATTG